AAAACTCTGGCTGTACTTCTTCCAAGACAGATTGGTCTTTGTTGTCCTTTGCTGTGTGCCCAGCACCTGCACATAGTAGGTAATCAATAAGAGTGTCGAATGAATGAAGTAAAGATGTATACAAGCACCCTGCACATGGGAAGGGTTTCATACATTGTTGGATGTTATACCAACCGAGCTGGGCACGCAGTGGAGCCCTGGTGTCATAGTGGTTAAGAGCTCAGCTGCTAACCAAAAGGTCGGCAGTTCAAATCCACCAGCTGCTCCTTGGAAACCCTATGGGGCAGTTCTACTCTGTCCTATAGGGTCGCTATGAGTCAGAATCGACTCAACGGCAAGGGGTTTGGTTTGGTTTGGGGGGGCACACAGTAGGCACCCTGGGAGGGTCATGAGGGTAATCAGGGATTGGAGAAGGTGGAAAGAACAATTTGCTTCACCTGGCCCCTCTGTCTTTGCCTCACAGGGGACGAGCCGCTGACTGGGGCCTACTCAGTGACTGTGGATGGACGAGGGCCCTCTAGGGTCATCTCCAAACATGACCTGGGCCACTTCATGCTGCACTGTCTCACCACGGACGAGTACAATGGGCACAACACCTACCCCTCCCACCAATATGAATAGGGGTCTGGCCCCATCCAGGAGGATGGCATTCTGGGAAACGGGGAACAAAGGAGAGACAGCCCAGTAGTCAGGGAGCAATAAATCTTGAGCCTAGAGCTTCAAATTATTCTAGAGGACCGGACTCTGTGACTCTTCCTTTCTCTGGCTTTGTCTGGGTAACTCTGAGTGTCTCTGACTCTGTGTTAGATTTTCTGGGTATTGATTCATTCATTCCCTCAGCAAGTTTATTGAGTCTCCGTTCTGTATCTGAATCCCTGCCTGGATGGCTCCAATGATAAAGTGCTCAGCTGCTAACTGAAAAGTTGGTGGTTCTACTCAGAGGCACCTGGGAAGAAAGGCCTGGCTATCTGCTTCTGTAAAACCCTATGAAGCACAGTGCTATTCTGACACACATGGAATGGCCATGAGTCAGAATCCGTGCCGTGGCAACTGGTATTTTGTTTTTCGGGGGTGGGGTTTGTCTGGCCCCGTCCTGGGGACCCGGTGGTAATCATGGGGACCCAGTGGTGACCAAGGTAGCAGTGAACCCTTTCATGGCCCTCGCAGGCCAGTGGAGGAGACAACCACGCGATCCACAGTGGTCAGGGCGCTAGTGGGGGAAGCACAGTGGGCTGGGAGAGCCCAGAGGGGTTCCCTAACCCAGCTTGAGGAGCAAAAAACGGCTTTCTGGGCTGAAGCCTAAAGGTTCGTTAATAATGCGACCAGAGAAGGTTTTAGGGTGGATAGCATTCCTGGCAGAAGGAACAACAGGAGCAAAGGCCAAGTCAGAAAACACGGGGCTCCTTTGAAGAACTAAAATCTGTGCCGTACAGTTAATACAAGGAGCCCTGATGGCCAGGGCTGCTAACAGAAACGTCAGCGATTTGAACCCACCAGCCGCTCTGCTGGAAAAGATGTGACAGTCTGCTTTCCTAAAGATTTACAGCCTTGGAAACCCAATGGGGCAGTTCTACTCTGTCGTAGAGGTTCACTGTGAATCAGAATGGACTCGATGGCAACGGGTTTACAGTTAATACTTCTAGTCTGAGGTGGGGAGTGGTCAGCCCTATGGAGGCTAAATTGTGCAGAGTCATTGTAAAAAATTGAGCTTTAAGGGGAGATTTTATGCCAGGAGGGGGACGGGGCAGAGGCGGGAGTTGGGGCGGGGAGGCAGTCACGGTGAGTGTTGTAGAAAACTTCCTCTGGTTACTGCCGCGTGAGGTGGATTACAAGCGGCAAGACTGAAGGCTAAGAGCCCAGGGGGAGAATGGGGCTGGAGCAAGGCAGAGCTGTGGGGAGGGGAGGGGAGGACGGCTGGGAGGAGCCTGAGCGGACAGGCTGTGGGGGAGGGGAGGGGAGGGAGGCATCGAGGAAGCAGCCTACAGCTGCCACCTGAAGACGAGCTTACACTGGGGGCATCTGGAGGAGGGACAGGTTAGGGAGAAGGAAGGGGAAAAAATGCCCCCTTCCTAACCACGTTCCTCGCTGGAATCTACTGTCCCCTGGCTTTGTTCCCTGGAGACACTTTTTCCAGACCTGGCTAAGCCACCCCTCTCTCCCTGCCTCCAACCCACAGCCTTCCCCCACGTCCCCTGAAAAATCCATTCCAGTCCTATACTGCTTGTGCAAACAGCAGGTTGGCTGGGATGACAAATTCCAACCGGTGAAAACTGGTCTGAGGAGCCTTAAACCTCCCTTGCCGGGAGTGGACTGGAGAAAACTGTCCCCTCCCCCCCCCCCCCCCCCCGTGCAGGGAAGCCTTGCAGTGAGGGTGGTGCCTCGCGGGGTCAGTGTTTCGGAGCGCGAGCACTGTATTATCTCTGCCCGCTTTCTTTGCTCCTCTTTCTGTCACATTGCCTGAGCATTTCACAAACTTTTGTACTGGGCGTCTGCTCTGTGTCCAGCCCTGTGCTGGGTGATGCTGGGGACCAGGCGTTGACTGGGATAACCCTGGTACTCGTCCTCAGGGGACCCACAGTCTAGACAATGACAGTCCCGAGGAGTCAGTGCTGGGACAGGGGAGGGTGGGCAGAGGAGTCGGGGCCGTGACGGGGGAGGCAAGGGGGATGGGGGAGGCAAGAGCTGAGGGGTGCGGAGGGGATGGGGGAGGCAAGGGCCGAGGGGTCCGGAGGGGATGGGGGAGGCCAGGAAGCTGTGGGATCCCAAAATGAGTCCTAACCCAATCCGGGGTGTCAGAGAGAGCTTCCGAGAGGAGGGAACCTTTAAGATGAGTAAAGAGAGTCAGTCTGGGAATTAAGGGTATTATTTTTAGAATGAGGAGGAGCCCTGGTGGCATAGTGGTTAAGTGCTCCGCCGCTAACCGAAAGGTCAGCAGTTCGAACCCCACCAGCCGCTCCGCTGGAGAAAGAGGTGGCGATTTGCTCCCATAAAGATTTACAGCCTTGCAAACCCTATGAGGACAGTTCTGCTCTGTCTTATAGGGTCGCTATGAGTCGGAATCCACTCGACGACGGGTGAGAACGGGGTTTCAGAATGAGGAAACCAGTTTAAAGATCCCGAGGCCTTTCATTCTGGTTTTTGAGTACTTGCTATCTAACTGGCATTGTTGCAAGCACCGGGGATAAGACAGGGAAGAAAAGAGACAAAAGTCCTGTGTTCGCGGTCGGAGAGGGCGCTTAAGGCCATTTTAGAAAGACGGAAGGTGAATCAGCGTGGCAGGATCGTAGCGTGCGAAGACTGTACCTCGGGCCAGACCGCGAAGGGACTTGCGGCAAAAGTAGAGTTTGGACTTTATCCCTAGGACAGTGCGGAGTCATAAACGAATTTTCAGCAGCGAAGGCACCATTCTGAGAGTAAGGATGCGGGGACTGAGGGATCCAGGAGGGAGGGTCAGAGGGCATGGCAAGAAGTCCCAAGGGTTGAGAAGGGGCCACCCAGTAAAGTGAGGGGGGCCGGAGAGCGAGAGGAACGAGGGGGCGGGGCTGCCATCGCCCAGGCAACACAGGCCGCGTCAGCCTATTGGCTAGTCTTCAGCTGCGTCATCCTTGCTGCTCCGCGTCGTCAGCTGTCGGACCCCGGAGGCGAAGCCCCTGGGAGTTGCTCAGCTCCTGCGAGTTGCTCAGCCCCGCCCACCTGGAAAGCGGGGTGGGGGGCGTGCCAGCTGGTCTTCCTCCACGACGGGGTCTAGGCGTGGCATAAAGGGACTTCAGAAAACAATGCTGACAATCTCGGAGCGAGAAGAGCAAATGAGTTACAGAAAGTGGTTTTAATACCCCTGCCACCTTCCACCCTGGAGGCGTAGCCCCGCCCTCCGGCGAGTCGGAATCCTTTAAAAGGTGCTGACCGCTAGGGAGGGGAAGGCGGGCCGGGCGTCTCCTGGCTACAAGCTTGTGGCTCCGCCCAGCCAATCGGTGCCCCGCGGCAGGCAGGGCTCCAGCCAATCGCGGCTCGCGACTCGGCTCCGGGGCGGAGCTGGGTGGGCCAGAGGCCAAAGGAGAGGCCCCGGGGAGGTGAACGTAGGCCGCAGCCCAGCGCTGGTGGGTCCAAACGCTGCAGACGTTCCGGGAGATTGTCGCTGCTCAGCCAAGCAGCTGAGGTGAGGGGTTGGCGGCCCGGCTTGGGATCTGCCTTGGGTCGTGGGAGGTGGCAGCGCGACCCAAGAATTGTGGTGGCGGGGTCTGGGCGGAGATGGGAGGCGCCGAATAAGGGTGGCTGATAAGGTGTGGGAGGTCTGGGGACAGCGGACTGAGTTCGAGATCTGGGATGGGAGGCGAAGTTGTTGGGGCGGGATCTTCAAGTGGAGGGAGTTTGAATCTGGGACACGGGGTGTTTGGAGAAGTCAGAAAACCAAGGGAAGGACTTCGTGGCCAAGGCATCTGGAGATTAGGGCAATTTGGGTCTCCCGGACGGGTTGAATTCGGGGTCCCCATGTTCCGAAAAAAGGTGCGAGAAGTTTTTAGAGCTGGGATCCTGGGTATTTCGAGAAGTGAGAGTCTTGGTCTCCCAGACGCCGTATCCGGGAGAGAGTGCTGCGGGAAAGTTCGATGTTCGGGTCTCGGAGCTGGAGGGGGAGTTTGGAGGTGAAGTCCAGGAGCGTCTGAAAGTCGGGGCAAAAGTTGGGGGGAAGATCGCCAAATTGGAACGTCTAGTCTCCCGAACGGAGTGAAACGGAGAGCCTTTGTAGTCTTCGAGATACATGTTGGGGCCTGGGTCTCTCAGTCCGAGGGCGGTTTTGGGGAACAGTCCGGACCTTTTCGGGTCGGAGACACCGGGAGAAAGCACTTTGAGAGCTGGAGTCAGGAGTGGGGGAGGGGTGTTCCGGGCGTGGAGCTCAGACCCGCCGCCCGGGAGGCAGTGGAGGGCGGGGTTCGGCAGGCGCCGTGCTGCTGGGCGTCCGGGTTCCCTTCCCCCACCCACCGGGACCCTGTGCGCATGCCCTGAGGGAGGGTGTCTTCCCTTTGGTGAGCGGAGCCCTCCGGGGATTGTAGTGTAGGCTCGACGTCGATCTTTCTATCGGCCAGCTGTAGGCCCACATTTCCCAGAAGCCCATGGGCCAAATTGGGGCTTGCCTGGATGCTTTTTAGCGACCCAGTGAGCGGGCGGGGCTTGGCGTAGTTGAGTTCTAGTAAGTTTTCCTATGGGGCGCGATTTGGGGGAAGTAGAAGGCGAAGCCGAGAGGCAGAGAGAGGACTCTTCTCTGTTCTTGGCATCGCTCCCAGTCAGTTAACGAAGAGGGCTCGGACAGAAATATCGTTCCTGTGCGAAAAGAGTCTCGACAAATGGGTGCCCCAGCAGAGCTCCAGGTAGCCCAAATATAGTAGGCACTCAATATATATAACTATTGAATGAAGAAATGGCAGTTAACTCTGATCATTGAGCACTTCCTGTGTGGTAGGCCCTGTGCATATTACGTGTGATCTCCTGACAATGTGGTGAGAAGTATTTTTTACAACCCCCATTTTACAGATGAGGAAACTGAGGCCCAAAGAGGTGATGTCATGTCACTTCCATCACACAGCCGAGCAGTGTCAAAGACAGAATTCAAACCCAGGATTCTCTACTTCCAGTCCAGGTCTCTGTACTCCACACCTGTCTGTGTGTGACATGTTTGAAGAAGTAAATTGAGTATCATGGAAAGAACAGTTTTAAGACTCAGAGAGACTTGAGTTAGGATCCTCACTGTGCAGATGGAAACAAGTCTCAGGGAGGTAAATTCACTATTCGAGGCCACACAGGCAAGTAAGTAGGATTCAATCCCAGCTACATTTAAGTCCAGATCTTGTTTTCTTAACCATTTGCTTTTCTCCCTATCCCTGTGGGATTCATACCACCTCCATTTTATAGATGCGGAAACTGAGGTTCAGATAATTAAAATCACCAACAACCGTAGAGGCAATAAAGTGGGATTTGAACTAGCCCCGCTGTATCTGACTTGCCCCTCTCCTCTCCACAGGGCATCATGGTTGGAGGCTTGAAGAGGAAACACTCAGATTTGGAGGAGGAAGAGGAGGAGAAGTGGGGCTGGGGCCCTGCAGGCCTGCGGAGCTATCAGCAAGCCCTGCTCCGCATCTCCCTAGACAAGGTCCAGCACAGCCTGGGCCCCCACGCTCACTGCCTCCGAAGGCATGTCCTTATCCACAACACCCTGCAGCAGCTCCAGGCCGCTCTTCGCCTTGCTCCTGCACCTGCCCTGCCCCCAGAGCCCCTCTTCCTGGGTGAGGAGGACTTCTCCCTGTCGGCCACCATCGGCTCTATCCTCAGGGAACTGGAGACCTCCATGGATGAGGCTGAGCACCCTCCGAACCCAGTAACTCCCCCGGGCCCCCAGGATGAAGCACTGCCCCAGCCCGATCCAGTCTTCCTAGAATCGCTGAGTTCCCAGTACCTGGGCGACTCTGGCCTGGATGACTTCTTTCTGGACATTGATACATCGGCGATTGAGAAGGAGCCTGTGCTAGCCCCTCCGGAGCCCTCTCACAGCCTCTTCTGCGCCCCGGGGTCCTGGGAATGGAATGAACTGGATCATATCATGGAGATTATTCTTGGATCCTAAAACTTTACAGCGGGGAGGGGGAGCCTCCTTTCTCATCTCAGCCTCGGTTGGCTGGATCCCTGGATGCAACTCTGTGTGTGTTTTGGTGCAGGGGGGCCTCTAAGCAGTGACCACCCCACCTCCCCATTTCAGGGTTCCACAGACCATTTTGCATGTGTGTGTGTGTGTCTGGCTACCCCAGCCTTCTGTGAAGGTGGGTCTTCCTGTATTAATTTATCTGTTCCAGATGCCTTAACAAGACTCTATTTCAGGGAGTCTGATTTCCCTTATCCATGTTTTTTCTGCCTTTCCCTCCCCTTGTGACCACTGGGGCCTCAGGGAAGAGAAAGCTGGGCCTGTCACAGGATGACTTGGATATGCCACCTGGTTGCTATGGAAACCCAGGCTCTGCCTCTTGCACCTCCAGAGAGGGTGTGGAAGGGGCTGGTCTCCTTCCTGCTGGCTGACCCTCACTTCCTTGGCAGGACCCCAGTCCCAGCAGCCTCCTGACTGATAAAACCAGGCCGGACCATGTGCAATAGGGTAGAAACCAAACTGCTCCATGCCACGTTATTTAAAAGAAAGGCAGGTTTTGTGGTGGCTTTTTTTTTTTTTTGGATTGTTTGTAATGATTTTTTTTTTTTTAAATAAAAGTTTTTTTGGAAGTGGTGGTGCTGCCTAAAGTTTGTACATTTCACTGGGCTAATGGGAGGGACCTTGTAAGTCTTCTGGACACCTGCACCCCTTCCCTGCCAAGCTGGGATGGGTATATTACTGTTCCACCCCCTTTAGGTGGGTTAGGTCATTTAATTCTCAGAATGATTAGCAGAAGGTATTGCTAATCACATCCTACGTAGGGGGAACCAGAGGTTCAGAGAGGCCAAGTCACTTACTCGAGGTCTCAGGCAGAGGGAGGATCACAGAGCCAGACTCAGATTGAGCCTGACCCCAGAGCGTGTGTGTTCAACTACTGCATTTCTGTTGTTTCTTGGTAGATTTAAGACTCCCCAGCCAGCTGGGCTGAGCACATGGGCAGGCACAAAAGGCAGAAACTGAGTCACAGGGAGTCTCTCACAGAACAGGGCTACCTGGCACTTAAAAGCCCACCCTTTCATTGTTTGCAGCGTGCTGCTGAGGCTCAGAGGGGAAAGGAAATGCCCAAAGCCACCCAGGTCTAAAAATCTTTGTAGGAGGCTGTATTGGTGTAGGAGGTAGAACCCAATGCTTTACATTTTAGGTGCAAACCCAGCCAGCAAGAGTGAGGGGAAACGGGAGGGAAACGGACAATGCAACGTGATACAATGCTACAGGGGCTATACCTTCGCAAAGATCTTTGGAGAGACAGCCAATGAGTTTCCACAGCATTGGAGACCGCCCAGGAAGGGCTGCAAAGGCACCGCACGTGGGTGTAGGCGATGGGCAGAGAAAGAGGAGGGGTAGTTTATTTGTTTCCTGGCTCAAAGCCAGATTTCTCATCGTCATGGAGGGTGGAGGGGTGATCTAAATACGTGGGTGCCCAACCACAGAGAGAAGGTGGTCAAGGGAACCTCAAGAAGATAACAAGCTCTATATCCTAATATGAAAGCAAACTGGGATCATGTCCTCCTCCTCAAAACTTCCAGTGGCTTCTCAGCACACAGAATAAAACCCCAACTCCATTGAGGCCTGTGTGGCCTGACTTAGCCCTGCTCCTGACAACTTCCTCAGTCTAATCTCACACTCTCTCCTCCCTCACTCAACTCCAGTCACTGGCCTCTGCATCCAAGCTCATTCCCATTTCAGGGCCTTTGCGCTTGCTGATAACACTGTCCACAAGACCCCCAGGTCTTCACCAAGTCAGACGTCCCCTTCCCAGGTTTTCCCTGCCCTTCCTGTCTCAACACGGCCAGGTGCACACCATCACATTATTCTGTTTGCTTTTCTTCACAGCACCTACCCAATCTGGAAATCACCTGTTTACCTGTTGCCTCTTGCTTGCCTGGAAACTGAGGGAGAGACGGTATCTCTTCTCCCGGCTGTCTCCCCCACTGCCTAGCACAGGGCCTGGCACGGGTGGGCACTCAGATATTTTTTGTTGTGGAAGAAAATGGAACTCCAGGCACACTAGGACGAGAAGACAGGAGGAGACAGGAAAGCTGGTAATGGGGAACCCAAAGTCGAGAAGGGGAAAGTGTTGACATGTTGCGGGGTTGGCAACCAATGTCACAAAACAATACGCGTATTAATAGTTTAATGGGAAACCAGTTTGCTCTGTAAACCTTCATCTAAAGTACAATTTAAAAAAAAGGAACTCCGGACCTTGCAATGCCAACCATCCTTCCTACCTCTCTGAACTCATCTCTCACTCCCTCCCTCCCTCCCTCCCTCCTACGCTCCAGTCACACCATTTCCTTCTGTTCCTCAAACACCACCATATCCCAACCTCAAGACCTGGAGTAACACCTGCCTCACAAAACGATGGTGCAAAACGTGTAATGGGGCCGATGCACACCAAGGATTTCAATAATTGCTCAGTTTTGTTGAGTGCCTACTGTGCCCCCAGCACATGAATAAAACAGACAATTCCTGCTCTCATGAAGCACCAGAATTGGGGGAGACTGAAAGAAACACAATAAATAAGCAAAATGTACGGTCTTCTAGGTGGTGATAAACTCTGGAGAAAAATTAAGCAAGGGGTGTGTGGCTATTTAGTGGGGATGGCCAGAGAAGGCCTCACTGACAAGCTGACATTTGAGTAAAGACTCCAAGGAGGTGAGGAATGAATCATGAAAATATCTGGGCGATGAATGATCCAGGTAGAAGGAACAGCCAGTGCAAAGGCCCTGAAGTCAGAGCTTGAGTGGCATGTTTAAGGGACAATGAGGAGGCCAGTGTGGCTGGAACAGAGTGAGCAAGGGGGAAAGTATCAGGGGGTCAGGTGAAGGAGGTGAGAGGGACAAATCATGCCGGGTCTTGTGGGCACCTGACAGGGATGACTTTAGCTTTACTGGGAGCCTCAGTGGCGCAGTGGTTAAGAGCTCGGCTGCTAACCAAAAGGTCAGCAGTTCGAATCTACCAGCCGCTCCTTGGAAACCCTATGGGGCAGTTCTACTCTGTCCTATACAGGCTTGCTATGAGTCAGAATCGACTTGGTGGCAACGGGTTTGAGTTTTTTGGTTTTTCTTTGTTTTCTGAGTAAGATGAGTCAAAGGAGGATGTTGAGCAGAGGAGGAACGTGACCTGACTCAACTTTTATTAGGCTCTCTTTGGCTGCCCTGAGAATAACAGAGTGAAGGGGAGTCATGGTAGTTTGTTAGTACCACACTGAGGCCCCCACGGTTAGCACCCCAACTTGCCACATAAATAAAGCTCGGAGAGGCCCAGCACCTGCTAAAAAATTGGCGAGAGAAGTGGAAAGACTGGCCCCGTGGAGGGAAGCCGGGTCCTTCAGGGCAGAGTCCAAGTTCCCCAACCCGCCCTCCCCGGCGGTCCTGCAGTGGAGGCTGGGCTCGGGGCGTGGCCGGGGCGGCCCTGGTCCCTCCCACCTGCCCACTCTCCGCCCTGGGCTGGCCAGCAGGATACCCGGGAGGCGGCGGCGGCCCGGAGCCTGCCCGGCGCCTCTGCCTTCCCCAGAGGCCGGGCGGGGCGCCCCTCCCCCGTCCGCCCCAGCTGGCGGAGGCTCCTCCCCGGGCCTGCTGGGCCTGCCGGCTTTGCTTCTGCTTTCGTTTCCCAAAGCCAGGCCTCTCCCCCTTTGCCCTTCCCCCAGCCCTTTAAATTCCTGGCTTTCTCTTTCATCGACTCGACGACAAGGGGTTCTCTTACTGGGCTCATTTCCGAAGTCACCTCCTCAGGGAGGCCCTCCAGGACCAATCTGGCTACAGGCACCTCCCCCCAGGCCTCTCTATTCTCCGGTCCTATTTTATTTCAAGCCACTGAGCAGAAGCAGAAATGATCTTCCTAATTTATTCATCTTCCAGGATCTTCTCATCCCCTCAGAATAAAAATCAAACGTCCTTAGAATGGCGTAAAAGGCCTGGTAACTCCTCTGGCCTCCTCCCCTGCAGCTCACAGCCCGGCTACAGTGGCCTTGTTGCCCCGCAAACAGCTAGCACGTGGCCACCTCAGGGCCTTTGCACTGCTCGCCTCTCGGCCTGGAACAGACTTCCTCCAGAGCTCTGCTAATTGTTTCATTTCATCAGGGTTTTGCTCAAATGCCACCTGTGCCGAGAATCCCACCACCACCACTACCCGTCTAAACCTGTACACCCTTGCTTTCTCTCCTCCTCCTCCGCTTTATTCTTTTCCCTTTGCACTCTCGCCTTCTAAAGCATGTGATTTCCTAGCAACAACACCTCCTCCCATCAGGGATTTTTGTCTATATCTTCAGCGCCTGGAAGCAGTGCCTGATACACAGCAACCCTTGTGGTGGAGTCGATTCCGACTCATAGCGACCCTATAGGGCAGACTAGAACTGCCCCACAGGGTTTCCAAGGCTGCAATCTTCTTAAGAAAGCCGACTGCCACATCTTTCTCCCCTGGAGCAGCTAGCTGGTGGTTCAACTGCCGGTTCGCAGCCTATTGCTTAACCACTTCATCAGGGTTCCCAGACACACAGTAGGCACTCAGTATTAGTGAATATTAGTGAATAAATGAATGCATTTGTGTCTTAGTCATCTAGTCCTGGTATAACAGAAATACCACAAGTGGATGGCTTCAACAAACAGGAGTTTATTCTCTCACAGGCTAGGAGGCTAGAAGTTCGAATTCAGGGCGTGAGCTCCAGCGGAAGGCTTTCTCTCTCTGTAGGCTCTGGGGGAAGACCTTTGTCATCCATTTTTCCTGGTCAAGGAGCTTCTCGGTGCAGGGACCCTGGGTCCAAAGGACGCACTCTTTTTTCTCCTGGCTCTTGTTTCTTGGTGGTATGAGGTCCCCATGTCTGTCTGCTAGCTTCTCTTTTTTATATCTCAAAAGGGATTGGCTTAAAACACAGTCTAATCTTGTAGATTTAGTCCTGCCTCATTAACATAACTGTCTCTAATCCTGCCTCATCAACATCATAGAGGTAGGATTTCCAACACAGGAAAATCATACCAGATGACCAAATGGTGGATAACCACACAATCCTGGGAATCATGGCCTAGCCAAACTGATACATATATTTTTGGGGGACACAATTAATCCATGACATTTTGTTATCATATTCATTTTCTCCTTGTACCCTCTACCTCCAACTGTGAGAGTAGAGAGACTGTAAGAGGCTTATTCAGTGCTGCACCCCCATGGTCTACAACTGTGCCAGCACGTAATACCAAAACCAGTCGATTCTGACTCATAGCAACCCCATAGGACAGAATAGAACTGCTCCATAGGGTTTCCAAGGCTGTAATCTTTATGAAAGCCGACTGCCACATCTTTCTCCCTTGGAGCGGCTGGTGGGTTGGAACCTACGACCTTTCAGTTCACAGCCGAGCACTTAACCACTGTGTCACCAGAGCTCCTTAACACATAGTAGGGCTCAGTAAATACATGTTAATCAAATGACTCCTATGAGTTCTTTTTCATTATATGACCTGGAGCAAGCGACTTGGCAAATCCGAGCCTCCTGTTTCCCAGGCCATAAAAATGCGCTGTGGGTGAAATTATGTGAGTTTGCCTAGCAGAAGCCTGGTTCTAATTAGCACTTTACACTTCTTTTTATTATTATTATGAAAAAATTTCAAGCACAATCTTTAAAAAATCCTCTATCTACAACCAAATGGTCAACAGTTATTCTAAAGCAAAGATGAAAGGGTAAGGGGACAGAGAGACCAGGTTACTGGATATAAAACATCCAAACTGCAAACAATGACAATGTTGACACATTGTGGAAAACGTAACCGATGTCACTGAACAATTGGTGTAATAACTGTAAAATGGGATCCTAATAAGCTGTGTAAACTTTCACCAAAAACACAATAAAACATTACGTTAAAAAAAAATTCAAGCGCATAGAAAAGATGGGGGAAAAATATACTGAACACCTGAATACCCTCCTTCCTAGATTTGGAAATTGTTACCATTTTGCTGTTTGCTTTATGCACATATGTATGTATGTATAGTTTTTCTTCGGCTGAACCATTGGAGAGTAAACTGCAGACATCCTGATGATATTCTACCCCTAATAGCTCAGCAGGCAAGGTACCTTTTAAGAATAAGAACATTTACCTATGAACCACAACACTACTTCACACCTAAGAAAATTAACAATTCCATAATATCAGCTATATACAATCCATATTCAAATGTCTCCAATTATCTCAATAATATCTTTTACAGCTGCTTTTTTTTTAAATTAGGATCTAAGGAGTTCACACTCTGATTTGATTGTAATAAAGAAACTATATAGTCCTCTGCAACTATTGCCCTGAGATAATCTTTAAACCTTAAACCAAAACTATCCCCTGAAGTCTTCTTAAAACCAAAAAACAGTTCAGCTTAAGTAATAAAAAATGCCTGCCTTGAGCATTACTCTCTTTTAAGAACTATCTATATGGGATCAAATTGACAATGGCAACTGGGAAGATTAGGTAGGAACCCTAGGGGGCAGTGAGTTTATGTTAATGGGGGCGGAACAACCCAGAAAAGGAGGGTGAGAATGATTGCACCACTTGAAGAATGTAATCAATGTCACTGAATTGTGCCTGTAGAAACTGTTGAATGGGTGTATGTTCTGCTGTGTATATTCAACAAAATAAATAAGACTAAAAAAAATAAAAGAAATTACACAGTACCTTTTATCCTAGAACAACGCCCACCCCCACTCCCTTTTTGGTTCTTGTGGAAAATTGAATTTTAGGTGGAACAGCCCAGTTGTTCAGTCTGGATTGGTCTGATTGTGTGTGTGTTTAATTTGTTCCTCTCTGTTTTCTGTAAGCTGGAAGTTGGGTCTAGAGGCTGGAGGAGATTCAGTTTATGCAGTGTAGCAGGAAGATTCCATAGCGGATGTGGTGTACTTCGTGGTGCATGGTATTGGGTGGTACCCAGCGTTGGTGTGTCTGACTAGTGGGGATGCAGAGTTTCCTCATGTAATTAAAGTGGGGAGTGCCAGGTCTCTCCACCATAAAAGGATATTTTCCCGTTTGCAGTTAGCAAGTCACCTGTGAGGTGATGCTTTGGACTCTGTTTTCCATCATCATTTTGTTCAAAGGTTTGAGTATCCATTGATAATCCCTGTCCCAATCAACTACCATAGTTAACATTTTTGAGCACTTCTTTTGGCCAGGAGCTTTATTTATAACAACTAACATAATCCTTCTCATAGCCCCCAAAATGTTAGCAAATGAGCTACCTGAAGAGGGTAAATCCCATTGTCAGTTTATTTAACTCCTGTCTACCTCTACCCCCCCCCCAACGTGTCCCCTCACTTTGAAGAAATAGCCTGTGCTATTTCCACAACTGGAAATCCTGGTGGTATATTGGCTAAATGCTACGGCTGCTCATGAAAAGGGTTAGCAGTTCAAATCCACCAGGCGCTCCTTGGAAACTCTGTAGGGCAGTTCTACTCTGTCCTACAGGGTCGCTAGGAGTTGGAATTGACTCGACGGCAGCAGGTTTGTTTGTTTTTATTTCCACAACTGCTATTAAAAAGCCCTGCCATGTATCTAGTCCATTCCAACTCTTAGCGGCCCTGTAGGACGGAGCAGAACTGCCCCAGAGGGTTTCCAATGCTGTAATCTTTACAGAGCCGACTGCCACATCTTTCTTCCCTCAAGCAGCTGGTGGGTTGGAACTGCCGACCTTTTGGTTAGTAGCGGAGCGCTTGACCACTGCGCAACCAGCGCTCCTTTACAACTTCATTACTAGTAACAAAAGGACATGCTGCGTGCCACTTTGAGCATTTTGCACGAATTGTTTAATTTAATCCTCAGAGCAACCTTCAGAGCCAGACACTGTTTTTTTCTCCCGTTTTAAAGATGAGGAAACTGAGACTCTGAGGATTAAAACATTTGCGCAAGGTCACACAGCTACTTCAGGATTCGAGTCCAGGACTCCAGTACAGGGCTTCGAACCACTTGTTCCGGTTGAAACCCCTGCTGAGAATTTGCATTTCCACCCCCAGATATACTGAATCCGAATCTACAGTTTAATAAATCTCCAGGTGATTCTTATGTCTGATCAATTTTGAGAATCACTGCTCTACTAGTGGTTCTCAGCATTGCTCACTAACCAGCAGCGTTAGCATCGCCTGGGAACTTGGTAAAAATGCGAATTCTCCGCGAAGGTTCGACCCGGAAGAACCGAGTCGAAGCCCTGCTCCGGCGGCACCCTCACCACCACCACCACCACCAATTGAGTCCAGCTGTCCAGCATTTGCTAAGAGTCTGACATAGTGCTCTTACAAATACGATCTTATTTTAATTTTCACAACTTTCAAGAGGTAGCCATGACGAGCCCCATTTAACAAACCGGCTCAGAGAGGTCAAGCATTCTTCCGAAGTTATGCATCGAGTGAGTGGTGAGTCAGAACTTGAACCTAGGCCTAGAGTGCAGACCCCGTTGGTGCTAGGTGGGTAAGAATTCAAGTGCTGGGTTTGGCAGGTGCATGGGTACGTGCACTTTGATACGCAAAAGCCCCTCCCCGCCACTGTGCCTCAGGGCAAATAGCCACGCCTCCTTCCCGCCCGCAGCTGCCGGAGCAAGCGCTCTGAAGCCAACCTCGCCTCCCTTCCAACCCGCCCCTTACAGGCTCCGCCCATCACCGGCCAGGGCCAATCCGTGAGGTGGGGGGTGGGGCCGTCACGGGAGTAGGCGGGAGCTAAGTGGAGTCAGGAGCCCGGAGTTGTACGCCGGAGTCAGAACCGCGTCTCCGGTTCTAGGCGCCGGTTCCAGCAGCAGAGCGGGCGAGCGATGCTGCCGCCGCTGCCGCTTCCTGATTGGCTGCGGGTGGCTAACTCTTCGTTCTGATTGGCAGCTGGTGAACTGGGTATGTAAACGAAGGGAAGGAGTCTGGGGAGAGAAAGGGAACCGGTTGCGGGGTCTTTTGGTGGGTTCGATCCTAGGTCCGGCAGGTGCGCGCCGGGGCAGCCCAGGCTCTAGATTCACGGGCCTCTACGTGTCGCCCGCCTAGCCGGGCCAGTGCCGGGTGAATCACGCCGCAGCCCGAAAAGGGGGCGGAGGCGCCGGCTCCCTGGCTCCAGCTGCGTGACTCACCCGCCCCCGCCGCCGCCGCTTCGGGAGGAGCAGCCTCCTCTGCCTTCCGGAAGCGAGCGGGAGGCCCGGAGGGCAGAACTGCCCGCCGGGGATCTCGCCGGAACGGCGCTGGGGGGCAGGAGAGCCAGGACACGGGGCGGTGTAAAGGGCCCTGGGGTCGGAGGGACCGGAATCCCCGGGGGAAAGCCGGCCTGGGCGCCGCTAGGAGGCGCCGGGGCCCCAGGGGCGGAGTCGGGGGTGGGGGCTAAATTCCTGCGGTTCCGGACTTAAGGGTCTGTCGGGAGGAGGGAGAGGACCCAGTCTTGGATAGGGCGGGGGTCACTCTTAAAGCTCCTGCTCGGCAAGGGCCCCAGGGATGAATCCTGCAAGCTGCCTTGGTCAAAAAAGCAGGTCGGGCCAGGGGTCCATAAATCCAGGGACCCACCCAGGGAGGGTCTGGGTCCTCAAACTTCTCTGTGACCCACCCCCCTGTCCCATTCCACTCTCCAGTCAGGATTTCCCGGCAAGTCTTGGCCACTCTGCCTCTCAAATATATCCTGAATCGGCCAACTTCCTTCCGTGGCTTCCACCACCTTCATCGTTTGCCCCAAAGAGTACAGGAGACTCCCTGTGGCTCTTAGGGACACACACACTATTCTTAACAGCTGCCGTGAGGATCTTCCGAAAACTTAACCCGTTCACAACACCATTCCCCTCCCTCCGCAAAACCCTTCAATGACTTCCCAACACACAGTGAAATCCAAACTCCTTACCTTGTTCTATATGGCCCTCTGTGACCTGGCCCCTGCCCACTGCCCCCACCTGATCTCCTGCCATCCCACTCTGTGTACGCCAACCACACTGGTCTTTTCCAGTCCAAGCTTATCCAGCCTCTGGACCTTTCTTTGCCTTTGCTATTGTTCCCTCTTCCCGGAATGCTTTGCCTCTAGTTCTTCCAGGGCTGACCCCTTCTTGTCTCAAATGTCACCTCCTCAGAGGACCCTTCCCTGACCACCCCCTCACCACAAACCTTTAAGTGTCTTCCTGGTACTATCTGTAATTTTCCTGTATTTGTTTATTGTCTGACACATAGTAGGCTTTCAGTAAACACTAGATTGACCTATGTGAAACAACCACTTCTGTAAGTTAAAAAAAAGTTGGCTATTGATCATTTACCTAGTTCAGTGAAGAACTAAATAATAATAGTTATTTTTAAGAGTACTTTTTCATAAAAGTAATTACTATGTACCAGGTACTGTTAAGAGCTTTTTGTATATTGTCTCATTTAATTCTTAAAACAATGCTATGAGGTGGATACCATTATCCATATCTTAAAGGTTCCCTAAGGAAACCTAGGCTCAGAGAGGTTTAGTGACTTGCCCAAGGTCACACAGCAGTCGTCAGAGCCAGGATTTGAACGTTAGCTTTCCATAACTGAGTGACTCCTTCCTCCCCATAGACGATGCTGAGCAAGGGCCTGAAGCGCAAGCGGGAGGAGGAGGAGGAGAAGGCAGCCCTGGCAGTCGACGCCTGGTGGCTGGATCCTGGTCACCCAGACGTAGCACAGGCAGCCCCAGCTGTGGCCTCCAGCTCCCTCTTTGACCTCTCGGTGCTCAAGCTCCACCACAGCCTGCGGCAGAGTGAGCCCGACCTGCGCCACCTGGTGCTAGTTGTGAACACGCTGCGGCGCATCCAGGCGTCCATGGCTCCCGCGGCCGCCCTGCCGCCTGTGCCCAGCCCGCCCGCAGCCGCTGGAGCAGCTGACAGCCTGCTGGCCAGCTCGGATGCCGCCCTCTCAGCCTCCATGGCCAGCCTCCTGGAGGACCTCAGCCACATCGAGGGCCTGAGCCAGGCCCCCCAGCCCCTGGCGGACGAGGGGCCACTAGGCCGCCCCACTGGGGGAGCCCCGCCCAGCCTGGGTGCCTTGGATCTGCTGGGCCCGGCCACGGGCTGTCTGCTGGACGATGGACTTGAGGGCCTCTTTGAGGATATCGACACCTCCATGTATGACAGTGAACTTTGGGCACCAGCCTCTGAGGGCTTCAAACCTGGCCCTGTAGAGGGGCCGGGCAAGGAGGAGGCTCCAGAGCTGGACGAGGCCGAGCTGGACTACCTCATGGACGTGCTAGTGGGCAAACAGGCACTGGAGCGGCCGCCAGGGCCGGGGCGCTGACCCCTAGAGTTGGGAGGGTTATATTGTGGCTGAACTGAGCCTGGTGGCTGTCCAGCTCTCCTTGGACAGACACAGTTGGGTTCTCTGGTACAGACAGAGGGGCATGGGCCAGTTTGGAGAGACAGAATCCAGTCCTGGACAACTTCACATCCGTCCTCTCGTTTCAGGCAGGTGGAGGAGTCCAGGATTGGCCCAGAGATGGAATAACAGGGCCTGGCAGCTGGAATGTGGGTGGACCAGGCCCAGTGCTGGACTGAATCCCTTGGGGTCATACCCTGGGATGTTTCTTCTCGGATGTCGGAAGAGACCCCAGTCACTTTTTGAAATTAAAACCAGCCCTGGGAAATCTGAAGTCTGTGTTTTTGTGTCTGGGCTAGTGCGAGACAACATTTACTGAGCATGTACTGGGTGCCTGGCACAGTTCTAAGCACTTGTCATGTGTTAACACATTTAATCCTTACGACAAACCCATAAGACAGGCATTATTAATACCCCCATTTTGCAGATGAGAAAACTCAGGCTCTGGGAGGTTGTCACTTGAGCAGGCAGGTTTCAAACCATAAATGTTACTGCTTTATGATCAGCCCACAAAGCATACAATCTAAACCTGGTAACTGGCCCTTTGGACCAGCTCCCCAGAACACATTCAGCCAGTTTCCCCGATGTGCCGGTGTGTGCGTGCGTGTGCACTGGGTGGATGGGTAGGGCTGCCCAGGTCACTTTTTAAAATGAAATCTAGTCCTCACCTGGAGCCTACCTGTGTGCCTTTGGAGGGCTAAAGACAGCTTTCAGAATGGCCCAGAAATATAAGCAGAGGTTGGATGGAGCCTCTCCAAGGAGCACTGACAGACAGCTCTTCAGGAAAATGGTAAAAGAAAGGGGGACCCCAGCCAGTTCTGAAAAATAAAATCCACTCCCCGTCTCGCATCTTTTTGGGCAGCTGGGAGGCAACCTACGAAACGAAACCACCGGGCTCAGTGGCTGGACCGAGTGGCTCCCCAGGGGCAGGCAGGCGCGCTTTCCTTCTGGAAGAAACCCAGGTCCAGGCGAGCTGGGGCCACCTGCCCGCCAGCGGGACGGTGTCGTGCTGACCGGAGCACCGGGTGTCTGCGGCCGCCCCCGCGGTCCAGCCGCATTCCTGGCTCGGCTGGGCGGGGCCGCACACTCAGAGGCCTGGCACGCGCCCCAGGCCGCGTTCATCCTGGCGGCTGTGGGGGCAGGGCAGCGCCCGGGCAAAGGGCGCAAAGGGACAGCTAGGCGAGGGCAGGCAGCGAGGGCTAGAGGCTGGACGGTGACCTAAGGGGCCGGCTGGGCACTTCCATGGGAACGGGAGCACGGGCGGCAGGGGGAAATCAAAATTGTAGGCTCCAATGCCTCCCCTCTGGCCGGAAGCGTCCGGGAGGCTGAGGCTGGGGTGCAGCCGGGGAGGGGGGAGCTTGGGCCGGCCCCTCGGGCGGGAAGGGGCGGGCAGAGTGGAGCTTCCGGGAGAAGCAGAGGAAGTTATGCCCATTTCTGGAAGTGGATGAGGAGGGCCTGAGAGGGGAGTGGAAATGGTCCGCAGGGAGCTGGTGCGCAGGCTGAGGGTCTGGGAGGCAGGCGCCTGACTCCGACCCTGGACGATGGGACTGGCGCTTAGTTTGGACCCGGACCCAGACCTTGGAAGCCTAGGCTGAGCTCAGCAATGCCCCCTGGTGCCCAGTCTGGGCACCTTCGGCTCCCTGGAGAGCCGTCCAGTGGTCAGGGGTCATCAATGTCATCAGTTAACAACATCTTAGGGGCCTGTTTCTGATGCCTGCTGGTACCAGATTGGAGGGTCTGTGATATCTACTGATGCTGACAGACCGTCCGTCTGTCACGGAGGCTCCTGTCTTCCTCTGTGCCCGGTCAGTGATGCCCTCTCCCAAGAGCTTCTGTGTACAGTTGCACATTTAAGGGGCTACCACGCATGTTGCAGGCGCCATACATTTACATATTTATTAGGACAGTTTTCTAGCAGATGGAGGTCAAGCACCTTGAGGCAGGGGCATTCTTTTTGCACAAAAGCACCATATGGACTAGATTGTCCCTGGTCCCTGCCCCCTGGTGCCCTAAGGTTTATGAACAGCTCATGCCGGAGGACCTGACCCCCTCTCCCCATCTCTGACCCCCATGGCTGTGCAGGTCCCCTGGCTCTGATGTGCTGCTCCGCCCTCAGGCTCGGCCCCAGGAGGCCACTCCAGCCACCTCAGCCAGCAGATTCCAGAGCCCACACCATTCCTAGCTGAGCCCTGGAGCTGCTGTTGCGTTTCAGAGGGCCTCTGTGTATTCCTGCTGCGCCACCCCCCCAGGCCAGCTCCCCTGCACGGGGGGCACTCACAGGAACCCCTGCCACCTTTTCCTCTCCCCCAACACTTGAAAGAGCCGGTGACCAGCTGTTCTTGGCTTCCTTTCCTGCTTCCCTTCCTTCCCCAATTCAGCAAAGATTTACTGAGCGCCTACTGTGTGCTAAGCCCTGTGTAAAAGGCAAATCAGTCTCTCCCCTGCCTGTGTGCCCTGAGAATTTACCCCAGCTCTCTGGGATCTGGACCCTGTGCCTTCCAAGGCTCACCTTCCACCCCTGCCCGATTCATCCACTCAACGAACATTTACTGAGCACCTATGGTGTGCAGTCCCTGTGCGGAAATCTAATGATGCTTAGAGATATTATCGAAGCAGTAAACTGTATAGCAGAGTTTGTGCTTGACAGCCAGACCGCCTGGCTTTGAACCTCAGCTTGACTTTTCTGTGGCTGTGTGACCCTGGGCAAGGTACTTACCTTCTCTGGGCCTCCGGGTCCTTATGGGTAAAATGGAATGGTATCACCTCCAAGGGCTGTTGTTCCTGGGCAACAACAGAGTTAATAAGGCTTGGTGCATAATGAACACTCGATACATGTTGATTATTCTTATTAAATAGTTAAACCCATTGCCTTTGAGTAAATTCTGACTCAGCAACCCCATAGGATTTCCAAGGCTGTAAATCTTTACCGAAGCTGACTGCTACATCTTTCTCCCATGGAGTGACTGGTGGATTCAAACCACCAACCTTTGGATTAAGGGGTGAGTGCTTTAACCACTGTGCCACCAGGGCTCCTTATTAATAGTTTAAAAAAAAATTGTCATCTAGTCGATTCCAACTCATAGCAACACTATAGGACAGAGTAGAACTGCCCACATAGGGTTTCCAAGGAGCGACTGGTGGATTAGAACTGCCAACCTGTTGGTTAGCAGCTAAGGTCTTAACCGCTGTGCCAGCAGGGTTCTTGCATAAAGATTACAGCCTTGGAAACCCTATGGGGCAGTTCTACTCTGTCCTACAGGGTCGCTATGAGTTGAAATCGACTCGAAGGCAATGGGTTAATCTTTACAGAAGCAGACTGCCACATCTTTCTCCATGGGGTGGCTGGTGGGTTCAAGCTGCCAACCTTTCGGTTAGCAGCTGAGTGCTTAACCACGGCATCACCGGGTCCCCTCATTAAATAACCCAGAAATCCAAAGCCAGTGCAGTCGAGTTGATTCTGCCTCATAGTGACCCTATAGGACAGAGCAGAACTGCCCCTGTAGAGTTTCCAAGGAGCGGCTGGTGGATTCAAACTGCTGACCTTTTGGTTAGCAGCTGAACCTTAACCGCTGCGCCACCCGGGCTCCCCTTATTAAATACTCGCCTAAAATAAATTGCTACTTCCATGAATACTTGAAGGAGTGTGGCACTGTGCTCTGAAATCCTTTAATAGGGGCGTCTGATCCAGCCTGGAGGTGTCAGCCTCAGGGAGGGCTTCCAGGCAAGGATGACTTTGGAATTGAGGGGCAGCTGGGGTGAGTTGGGAGAGTGTACCAGGCAGAGGGAACAGCTTGTGCAAGGGCCTGGAGGTGAGGGACACACCACCCTTTCAGGGATCTTAAGCAGCTGGGTTTGGCTAGAATGCGGAGAGCAGTCAGCCATGGGGACTATAGGGGCTGACAGGGGTCAGGGCACCCAAGACCAGAATGGGACACTTTACTCCAAAGACACTGGGAAGCCATGAGGCAGAGACCCCTCTGACTGCTGTGTGGGTGTGGATGGGGTGTGGGGGGAGACTGGAGACCGGGAGTCCAGCGGGGAGGGCAGCAGGGGGGCGGGGCACGGGGAGGAGAAGAGGCTGTGGAGCTGTGGGGCTAATGGGCCGGGACAGGGCAGTGGGGGCGGGGTCCAGGACAAGGCCTAGGGCTCTAGCCAGGGGATTAGGGGATGGTGAGGCCGCCTCTGAGACAGGGACCAGGAAGAGAAGCAGCTCTGGGGTTGGTGCTGAGGCCAGCAAGGGACAGAATGGGTATAGACACCCAGGGGAAGCATCCAGGAGGCTGCTGAGCCCCTGGGACTGGAGCTCCATAGAGAGGGCGGACGGGGGAGCAGGAGCGGCCATGGCGGGTAAAGGACAGGAGCGAGGGGGACATCGGTTTCCCTTGCTGGCCTGGGTGGGGCTCGACAGTGGGGCAGGGCGGGGACGGCGTTGGCTGAGGTTCCTGCTTGGCTCAGACTGGGCCCAGAGAGGGTGGTCCCTGGTGGGAAGCGTCCACCTCCTCCCCCAGCCCCGCAGGATGTCCTGTGTTTACTGAGGTGGCTTTGGCCGGAACCAGGACCTGGTGCCACCCCTAAACTCGGCTTCCCTGGCCACACCCCCTTGGGTGAGGGAAAGCAAGATAGAGGCATACAGAATGAGAGAGAGAGACACAGAAGAATGAGACAAAGAGAGGCAAGGAACGAGGGCAGAGATAAAGACAGGAAGACAGACAGAGAGACATCCATTCATGATAAAAACTCACAGCAAACTAGGAACGGCGGGGAACTTCCTTACCCTGATAAAGGGCATCTACAAAAAGCTTACAGCTACTATCATACTTAATGGCAAAAGACGGAACGTTTTTCCCCTAAGATTGGAAGAAGCAAGGATGTCTGCTTTCTGAGACAGGGAGAGGGAAGGATAGTGTGCACCATCCTCCCTTTTCCGTTAGACCCCGAGCAGAGAGAGGTGGATTTTCTTCCCTGCTCCAGCCCTGGCCTGTAGCTGAGACTCTTTCCCCCCTCAAATGCTTAAAAGCTCAGCTCTGACTTTGTCTCTCCCACGGCTCCCCAGGACCCTCTGGCTCTGTTTACCCCTGGGCCTCTCGGCTCCCCCTCACGTGCTCACGTTAACCAATTTTTCAAGTGTGCCCACCCACCTCAGGGGCTTTGTACTGGCTTTTCCCTCTGCTTGAGACTCCCCTTCATCTACCACCCACAGTCTTGTATTAACTCCTGTGCATCTTTAAGGTGCCAGTTCAAATGTCGCCTCCTCCTGGAAGCCCTCCCATGCCTTCCTGATAGTACCAGAGTGTCAGGGCCCTCTTATAGGCCAGGGTCCACCTCTGGTAACTTCCTTAATGTTTGTCTCCCCTCCTCCCCAGACTGTGAGTCCCATGAGGGCAGTCATGGTCATTGCTGTGCCCCCAGCACCGCCTAGCACAGGGGTGGACACAGAAGGTATCAGTGAAAAGCTGGCGAATAAATGTATGAATGAGTAAGAGATGCTTAGGAAGGGGCATGTTTGGCCCTGGGGATGCGGTTATGAACAAAGGACACAGTCTTTAGCTCCTGGACATTTCTTTTTATATATCTATAATTTATTTTATTTTATTTTGGTGTTGTTGAGAATATACACAGCAGAACATACGCCAGTTCAACAGTTTCTACAGGCACAAGTCAGTGACACTGATTACATTGTTCAAGTTGTGCAACCATTCTCACCGTCCTTTTCAGAGTGGTTCCTCTCCCATGAACATAAACTCACTCCTCTAAGGTTCCTATCTAATCTTTCAAGGTGCTGTTGTCAATTTGATCCCATACAGATAGTTCTTAAAAGAGCATAATGCTCAAGGCAGACATTCTTTACTCCTTTGGTTTTAAGAAGACTTCAGGGGATAGTTTTGGTTTAAGGTTTAAAGATTAT